GTTGTTATTCACTGAGTGCTGTTGAAGGGTAACAAGTACAAGGTTTGATTTTGTAACATACCAACTTTGTTGTTATTCACTGAGTGCTGTTGAAGAGTAACAAGTACAAGGTTGAGTTTGTAACATACCAACTTTGTTGTTATTCAAGGTGCTGCTGAAAAGTAACAAGTACATAATTTGAGTTTGTAATATATCAATTTTGTTCTTATTCACGTTTCTGCTGTTTAGTAACAAGTACAAGGTTTGAGTCTGTAACGTATCAACTTTTTTGTTATTCACTGAGTGCTATTGAAGGGTAACAAGTACAAGGTTTGATTCTGTAACATACCAACTTTGTTGTTATTCAAGGTGCTGCTGCTGAAAAGTAACAAGTACATGGTTTGAGTTTGTAAATACCAACTTTGTTCTTATTGTGCTGCTCGACAGTAACGAGTACAAGGTTTGAGTTTGTAACATAATAACTTTGTTCTTATTGTGCTGCTCGAGAGTAACGAGTACAAGGTTTGAGTTTGTAACATATCAAGTTTGTTGTTATTCACTGAGTGCTGTTGAAGGGTAACAAGTACAAGGTTTGAGTTTGTGACATACCAACTTTATGTTTCACTCACTGTGCTGCTGAATAGTAACGAGTACAAGGTTTGAGTTTGTAACATACCAACTTCATTGTTATTCACTGAGTGCTGTTGAAGAGTAACAAGTATAAGGTTGAGTTTGTAACATACCAATTTTGTTGTTATTCAAGGTGCTGCTGAAAAGTAACAAGTACATGGTTTTAGTTTGTAACATACCAACTTTGTTCTTATTCACTGTGCTGCTGAACAGTAACAACTACATGGTTTGAGTTTGTAACATAGCAACTTTGTTTTTATTGTGCTGCTGAAAAGTAACAAGTACATGGTTTGAGTTTCACTGTACTGAAAAGGATTAATATTTACAAGACTTCTTACATATCAAATTGTTCATTATTCACTGTTCTGATGAGGAGTATTAAATACTCAAAATCTGTTTTATATTCACTAATATGTAGAAGGTTTGTAACATTCATTCTTTACTAATTGTGCTGCTGCGGATTTGTAGATTCGTTATGTATCATTCCTGTTCCTCCATCATTGTATTGAAGAATAGTTTAACTTTGAGATTTGTTATGTATCATTCCTGTTCCTCCATCATTGTACTGAAGAATAGTTTAACTTTGACATTTGTGATGTATCATTCCTGTTCTTCACTCTTTATATTAATGAACAGTGTAAATTCAACATTGGCAATGTACTACCTTTTTTGTTTTTCACTATGCTGAGTGGGAGGAATAAGTTAAAAATTTGTAATGCACCAATTTAGTTCTATATTCACTGTGCTGATGAAGAGCAATAAGGATGATAACATACCAACTATGTTCTTTATTTATTGTTCTCTTGAGAACTAACAATTAGAAGGTTGTAACGTTATTCATTGTGCTGAGAAGAAGTAATATGTATAAAGGGTTCTGGAATAATAAGGACAAGATTTCTATTTTTAACATATATAAACTTTGTTCTTTATTTATGGTGCCAACAAAGAGTTTCACACAAACGTTTGTTGAATTTCTACCAATTCTCCATATTCACTTGTGCAATTTACCAAAATTCCCCTTAATTCACATTTTAGGAAAATATATTTTTGTTTCCTGATATAATCAGATGTTTGTTTTTAGATTTACAAATCAGTTTTTACATTATACCAGAGTTTGTGAATCAAAATTGGCCATTTGAAAGGTTTTCACAGCTCTTAAGAAGTAAGTTTTAGAAGCTCTTTAAATACACTGATATTTGAATTCCATTTTTGTAATTTAACTTGTGCAGTGTATAACTATAGACATCACTTATTTGATACTTGTTCACTTGTATATAAAGCTTCAATACTTTAAGAAGTATTTCACAATCACACTCGGGTGTTACACATTTACAGGGTGTTACTGACACCCACATAACCTTAACAGTTGTGTCACTGGAAGGTGCTACCCATATATGCAAAGTCCTAATACATGTGTCATTTAGTGTTATTGAAACTTACATGACCTTAATAGCTCAGTAAATTGAAAGTGTTTCAATACACAACTGTTGAAAAACAATAAAATAATTTGAATATTAAAAGTTTGTCTTCTGAATAAATTATTTCACCACCTTTAGCCATTAAATGAAATATTCAAAACAATTATAAAACTTTATAATCGCAATATTTAAAATCAGTATTTTTAAAAAACTTATACTGTCACTTGGACTGACATAATCCTGTATGAAGTTGGAATTACAGTTGGAATCAACAAGTTGTTTCTAAAAACCTCAGTTAAACAGACATAATCCCTTACTTGTTATAGTTGGTATCAACAAGTTATTTCAAAAAAGCCTCAGTTAAACAGACATAATCTATTATTTGTTATAACTGGTATCAACAAGTTATTTCAAAAAAGCCTTAGTTAAACAGACATAATCTATTATTTGTTATAACTGGTATCAACAAGTTATTTCAAAAACCTCAGTTAAACAGACATAATCCCTTATTTGTAACAGTTGGTATCAATAAGTTATTTCAAAAAGCCTTAGTTAAACAGACATAATCCGTTATCTGTAACAGCTGGATCATCTACTTCAGTTAAACCAGATAAGTTATCTAAGACCTGACATCATCAATTTCTAAAGGGAAAAAATTATCATCAAATAAATTAATAAAGTTTTGAAGCTTTTAATTCTAGTATAAAATAAAACATTCAAGTTGACATTATAGATCAGTATGCATTACGTTTGAATTAATCTGACAGAGCTCTGTATAGCTGAAATCTGGAAAAGGAAGTTTAAAAAAGGTTTAGTAAAACTAATTCAATCTTGCTTCATTCAAGCACTTGAAAATGATAAGTTGTCAAATAAGCACTCAAAGAGTCAGCAGTTTAATTATCTATTGAATAAATTCTTTATATTTTGTTCTGTTCATGAGGTTTAAATAAAAAAAAAGATCGCTGACTTTATAAAAGAGGATTCTATTAATCACTCCTTCAGTTTTATTGAGGAATTCAATTTCACATCTTGATGAGTGATAAACACTGCCAGTGTAGAAATTCAAACACAAAAAAAAACTCATGCATGACTCAAAAACTGAAATGACTAGTGGTTTGGTCCATAATGGCACTTATGAATGGCTATATAGTGTCTGTTTTACACTTCAAAGCTTCTCCAGTGACTAGAACGGTTCCTGGGAATGTTTGGTCTTTCTGTTCTAGTCTGGAAGGAAACATCAAAGTTATTTTTGTTATAAAATTAATCTTCAAACTAACAGTTACATTAGATAAAAAATCTACAAATCTACAGTCAAACATTACTACTGAAATAACAGTAAACATACTAGTGGAAACACCATCTATATGAAACTCTGGTAAAAAATCAGGTGTTGAGGTAACTTTTACCATGGTACCACAAACACTGGCAGTGTGAAAAAATTATGTCTGAAGTGGCAAAAAACCTAGTATAAAAGTTAACATTTTTCTTACACTGAAATATGTTTCTCATAGGTATTTACCAGCACTCATCTTGATCTTCATATGCTGTCTAAGCATTGCTAAAAATATGTGAAATCAAGTAGAAAACGACTGCCCAGAATGAACGGGTGTGCTCGGATATGAAGACAAAGCACACTTTTGGGATACTGCACTACTTGTGGAAGAGATATGCTCTTTGTCCAGGAAGTAGGAATTTAATATGAAATGAGCAGAAGAGGAAAATACTTGCACAAGCGTAATATGTTCTGACAAGTACAAGCTATAGCAGTGTATATACAGAATTAGCTGTACAAATTCCCAGACAGACAAAGTTCCATAACTTGTCCTTGGCATTAGGAGGTTGAACATGAAAAAAATATAGCATCAACATTATGGCTAGGACATGTAGACTGTGTTATATATACCCATCAACCCCAACTGTAAGTAAACAGAGTGCCATACGTCAAACAACCAGAATTATGAAGAGGAAGTGAGCTTTTGGGCAAAACCGGACAAACTCCCAAAGCAACTGTAAGAGCAAGAAGTACAACAAACCGAACCCAGCATTATGGGATCATGGTGTTGTTTCAACTCAACTATAAGATCAGGGTAATAGCTGTAACTGGTATTATGGGCAAAATCATAACTCATCCTGCCTCAGGAAATATGAGGAGGACATGGAACGATCATCCAACCATAGGAATATAATCATAAATCCTATTGCTGCTATTAAGAGTGAGATGAAGTCTCCCAAACTCAACTGTTGGAGCAGGAAAAAAACCACCTGCAACTGGAAATAATGAACAGAGAGGCATATACTGCACACAACCATAGGAACAAAGCATTGTAATCCCGAACTGTGTAGGCTGGACCAACTTCAATCGAAAAGTGTCCACTTGGGAAAAAGCATCCAGCAGAAATGGAAGGAGGGAAACCAGCATTGCTCTCCTTTCACTGAATGTGTAATCATCAGTAGGTTTGGTAAAGTAAATTCAAAACTCACTCAGGAGGAAGCATCCACAGTCCACCACCCCAGCAACTGGGAACTGACAAGGACTCTTGTGTTCCATGGAAGTAAAAGGAGGGGGACGAGGGGTGGAGTCCAGAGGAACGTCACATTGAAGAAAGTACAATGGGTGTACATGATTCCCTATATTGAAAAGCAGCCAACCCTGATTTATTCAATCAAAGGGTCAGCACGAATGGGCAGAAATTCTCTTTTGTTTTACTCATGAAGTCCATGGGTGATGGTCTACCATAGATTCAAAATTATTGATATCTAGTACACACACACCACTGGGTAAGCCACCAGTGATCTTTTGGAAACACCCCATCTCTACAGTGAGCATTATATTGCAAACAGTAAATAGTGCAGGTCTGAGGCATAGAATACCTTATCAAGCAATACCCACCACAGAGTGAGATCCTTATAGCAATGGTTAAAACTATGGTTGCTGAAAATAAAACATAAATGAAAGGAAGTGATAAAACTTACCCCAGTCAAAGGCAAACGGATGTGTGTGTAGAATTGCCAGGGGAGGTACATAATATCCACAAGAGGAAAATACAGCCAGATCATGCAGATAATGAGCGACAAAGGTATTGGTAGTAATCCACATTTCAGCCTGAACAATCCCCTGCAAAGGACAGTGAAGATGAACATAGTGATGTGACGAATTTGATGAGAAAAAATTTTATAGAGATAGTGACCTTCCATGGATAAGTCAGAATACATCAGCCTAACTAGTTGACAAACCCAACCAGTGAGAGTGACAGATCATGGGAAATGGAAGGGTTCCTGGGAATAAAAAGTCAAGAATGTGCACCCTAAAAGGAGGATGTATGTGCCACATAACACCTTAAGAAGCAAACCAGACAAAGAAGCCTATCCGGATCAGAATGTGAGTACAGGTGGGAAATGGAATGTAAGGAGATGGGCATGAAAGCCAAACCACCTTCCTGGGCACCATATGTATTAGAAAGGAAGGACTGGTCAGTATAGAGGATGACATAAAAGCAATGATAAAGCATGTAAGAAACATTAATGGCATAAATATCTGAATGATGATGCCTGCAAGCAAGGAGGAGGAGGAAATAGGTCTTGAGGGAGGTATGGTACAAGGAACACATAGACAATGGTTCCAAGAGAGTTTGAGAAAGGATGTAAGGGACAACACTGAAATCCCAATGAGGCAAAATAAAGGTATGTTGAGGATGCACGATACGAAAGGAGCAGAAAAGGAGAGAAATTACAGGGGAAGACAAAACCTTACGAAGCCTAGAGAAACAGAAGGTGTTTCACAGGGCCACCCAATAGCTAGACACAGTCAAAGTGGACAAGCCTTTCCTTTGTCAAACAAACAGGTGAAGAATAGGAAAAGATGAAGAACAGAAGGATAGAAAGGAGGGAAGCCATGCTGAACAGACCAAAGATGGAAGGTATACAATCACCCACCTTTGGTAAATGGCCAATCAAGGAGGTCTGATGGTTCAGGAAAGGAAAGATGCAACACGAGGAGTCTGTCCCTGGCCTGATGCAGTGGACCTGAAATAAGCCATGTATGAAGATGGACTTTGGTGATGTCTGGACGAATAATGTCCGATCGAGGTTGGCAGAGTAGAGACCGAGACGGAGGTAAGGGTAGGGGAGGCCAGAGCAGAGGGAACCATGGCTGTGCAGGCCAATAAGGAGCCACAAACAGGACTAGACACAGAGTGGTTTGGATAAAGGATAGAACTCTGGATAGGAGTCAAATTGGATGACAAGCATGAATATGAAGACCCTTCCAATCCTGACTGAATGCATCCACACCCAGAGCTAATGGGTGTGGAATGAGAGACCAAAAGGAAGGAAGTTTGGTGTTCCAGTGTGTGACAAAGACATCAATATTAGGTGTTCCCAGTTGAGAACACACCCACCAAAAGAGCTGAGGATGGAGGAGCCACTCAGTGAGGAGAACCTGGTTGGAATGAGATAATTGATTCAAAGCCAGATTTATTAGCACCGGGAACATGGCAAGCTAAGAATGATGGTAAGCCAATACATACTGGTACAACAAATGAGGAAGATGAGCATGCTTACATCCAAGAGAAGTTGGTCAGAAAATCTTTGAGAATGAGGAAGATGAGCATGCTTACATCTGAGAGAAGTTGGTCAGAAAATCTCTGAGAATGAGCTCTTATGTCTGAAGAAGGAGGAATCATAAGCTATATGGGAAACATTTAAAATACTACATACCTGATTAACATACTGTAAAATCTCCTGAATAGGTGTAGAATGTGACTGACCAAAAAAGAAGATGCTGAAAAAAAAGGGGTCCAAATTTTATTCACCCTGATGGTATTCTTCCTCAGAAACATGTTCAGGATGAAAAGGTGAAGAAATCGCTGGCTGAAAAGAGGATTCTAACTCCCAGTGCATTAAGGCCTGTACTTCCTCAGCAGGTAGTCAAACCAAAGTTCTGGGAAGTCATTCCATTTATTTACGTTATTGACTGTCATGGGAATTTTAGTTTCTGACAAACTAAACCCTGAATTCACACTGATAACACGTAGAATTCAGGAACCAGAAAATTTGACAAGCAAAATCTTGGATACAATTGAAATCAAACACTGAAAAGTAAAACTGTTGAATAAAAAATTTCAGAAATGGCAACAAATCACAATCAGAAACTGTAGCCACAGAAAAAACAAAAACACACATGTAAATGGTATAGTTCCAATCGAAAAAGTGAGGATTAAGTAGGAATAGCAGATGGAGCTAGCTGTACCAGTATACGTGGTACAATACTATTAGTGGAGAGTAGTCACATGATATGTACATGTTCGGACATTGATGGGGTATATTGACAGGTGCACTGAGTACAAATGAAGATTAAAATAGCTTTGTGTGATCATATCAGAACATAACGGTGGTTAAGGTAGTAGTAAAACTGTTAGTTTGAAACATAATGATAGCTTAGATGGTAGGAAAACCTCGTATAAAACAATGGTGGCTGAGGTGATATAAAAACCTAGTATAAACATGATGGTTGCTGAGGTGGTAGAAAAATCTAGTGTGAAACATAATGATGTTTGTGATGGTAGTAAAAGTGTTAGTATGAAACATAATTACAGCTTAGAAGGTAGGAAAACCTAGTTTAAAACATAATGGTGGCTGAAATGGTAGAAAAATATAGTATGAAACATGATGGTGGTTAAGGTGATACAAAACATAGTATGAAACATGATGGTGGTTAAGGTGATACAAAACATAGTGTGAAACATAATGGTGGTTAAGGTGAAATAAAAACAGTGTGAAACATGATGGTGGTTAAGGTGATATAAAAACACAGTGTGAAACATGATGGTGGTTAAGGTGATATAAAAACATAGTGTGAAACATGATGGTGGTTAAGGTGATATAAAAACATAGTGTGAAACATGATGGTGGTTAAGGTGATAGAAAAACTGTTAGTAGAAAATAATGATAAAAATTAAGATGGTGCAAGAATTGTGTAAAGTTAAGATGTTAAACAGGATATAGTAACTAACTGTAATGTAAATAAACTCTTCTCTTGTAATACTATTAAATGATTTAAGATAAGAAACATGTCTAACCTCAGATGTGAAGTAAGAAACCACACAGAATACCAGCAACAAGAATACACTCATATATGTTGCTAGGCGTATGATATCTCGAAATCTGCGCCACTCTTTCAACTTGTCAATGTGTAGGAACCTATTTCTATAATCTGAAGGCAACTCAAACTGAGATGAAAGTGGAAACATTGCTTCATAAAAATCTTGTAAGACTGCTTTCACCTGAAAATATGAAACAAACGAGTGGAGATAGGATTACAGAAATAAAAGAATTATGTATAAAACAACACAAGAGAAATAATTCCTAACCCTTAAAATAATACTCTACTAATTACTAAAGAATATAAACCTGAGAAAACAAAATGTGCCAAGAAATCTCAATATTAAAGTACAAAACGAACTTCATCAAGGTATCAGGAACATGGCAGTAAAAAAAGTAAAATAATCTAGACATGACAGTACAAAAAGAAAAAGATAATCTTGGTCAATTATAATCGAAGGACAACAGTACAAAAAACATGATAATCTATACATGACAAAACAAACAAAATATTGAATAAAACATCCAAGAATATTCAAACAAAAAATTTATTTATGGATCAATAACATTTGCTGGTATTATTATTGAAAAATCAATTAGCTTATGGTACATATTAAGGGAAAAAAGACAAATTAAACAAAAAACTAACATTGTAACCAAACCAGAAACTGACATTAAAAGTTTTCCATCAAAGTTATAGAAATACACTCAAACTATCCTCATATGGTTTGAGTTTGTAAATACCAACTTTGATCTTATTGTGCTGCTCGAGAGTAATGAGTACAAGGTTTGAGTTTGTAACATATCAACTTTGTAGTTATTCACTGAGTACTGTTGAAGGGTAACAAGTACAAGGTTTGAGTTTGTGACATACCAACTTTGTGTTTGATTCACTGTGCTGTTGAATAGTAACAAGAACAAGGTTCGAGTTTTTAACATACCAACTTTGTGTTTCATTCACTGTGCTGCTGAATAGTAACAAGAACAAGGTTTGAGTTTGTAACATACCAACTCTGTTCTAATTCACTATGCTGCTGAATAGTAACAAGTAGCTGAAAAGTAACAAGTACTGCATAGTGAATAACAACAAAGCTGGTATGTTACAAATTCAAACATTGTACTTGTTACTATTCTGCTGCACAGTGAATAAGAACAAAGTTGGTATGTTACAAACTCAAACCTTGTACTTGTTACTTTTCAGCAGCACCTTGAATAACAAGAAATTTGGTATGTTAAAAACTAAGTCCTTGTACTTGTTACTCTTCAGCCGCACAGTGAATGAAACACAAAGATGGTATGTCGCAAATTCAAATTTGTACTTGTTACTTTTCAGCTGCACAGTGAATAACAACAAAGTTGGTATGTTACAAATTCAAACATTGTACGGTATTACCAGAGACCTTGGCCATAACTAAATGCTGTCTTAGGTTTATCTGCTTATTCTATTTTCACTTGATGGAAACCTGATTTTAAGTCCAGAGTTGAAAACCAATTGGCTTCATTTAGGGCATCAAGAGTATCATCAATTCTTGGCATTGGGTATGAGTGTTAAGAGCCCTGAAGTCCATACAGCAACGTTGGGTCCCATCCTTCTTATAGACTAAATCGACGGTTGCTGACCAGGGACTATCTGATTTCTCGACTATCCCTTTCTTAATTAAAGCCATCCATGACCTTCTTCATCTCTTGTCGTTTTGCTGGAACTATTTTTCTCGGAGAGATCTTTATTGTACAGTGATTACCTGTGTTTATTCTGTGCTCTACAAGATCTGTGAAGCCGAGGTCATGATCTCCTTTCGAAAAGACATCAGCATAATTTGCCAAAAGTTATTTTACCTGAAGAGCCTGTGATGATGACAAATGAACTATGCTCTTCTTATAGAGGTCA